ACTCAGTGTTGTGTCACCCCAGCCCTCCAAATGCCCGCAAATTGAGTCTGAAAGAACATTTTTTCATTACAGGTACTGCTGGCATGCAGATTTTCCCTTCCTTGTTACTATAGTGAATATTTCAATACTATTTTAACTGAAATATTAATTCTATCTAGTATTAGAAATAAAGTATTATTTCAGAGGGTGATGATGATTTAATTATTCATCTGTGAAATAATTTCTTGGTGATAAATAAAGTTGATTTTTAAGCAGATATTCATGTGCACAGTAAATAAGTTGGAATTGCAAATGATGTAGGAAATGGAAATTTGAAATAGTAGAATGCTGTGAAACAGATTTGAAACATTACAGATTTGGAAAAATGAATAAGTCTTCCAAGAAACACAGGACTGGTATTCATTGATCAAAACTACTGTTTTCTGATATCTGCATATGAATAAGGATGCTGAATTGACTGAAATAAGTCCATGCTTTTTTTCCTTGTTCATTGGGAAAATAAACTGTTTTGAGAGTAGACTGCCATGTGACTCTGCTAGGCTGAAAACTGTACTCATTCTGATCAAGAGATAAAGAACTCTGAACTCTCTTGTTCTCAAGTTCAAGCTTCTCACGTGTCATTTGTACTTGTTTCCTTCTAGTGGTCAGGTACGTAGAGAGCCTTGTCTTTAGTCAGCCCAGCGCCTCTACCTTGCCCTGGATGTATCCAAGCTGGAAATGGAAAGGACAGATTTTCACTGCTCTGTGCTTTGCTGTGAATGACTGTCGAGAATGTTTTCTTTGGTTATGAGTCAGTGTGTTCAGCTGATACTTTATTACTTTCTTAAACAGACGAAATGCACTTTAAAACTGTATAATAGAAGATACTGATATTTTGTGCAGATCCCACTGAATTTGCAGCATATGTGGGAAAATTTGGGGAAACTATTCCCATCAGTCACTCATTTTTCTTAGAAATGCAAATTATTTTGTGTTCTGTTTGGAAGCAGTGATTAACTTCACAATATCTGGGCTGCTGTTTCTGTTAGAATCATCAGGGATACTGACTTTGCAAATTTAGTGTATTATATTCTAACCACTGTTTTTCTCTGTGCTTTGATGCTGATATTATCTCTGCTTTGGAGCCGTGCTGTACTTGAGTGCCAGCTAAACACTGATCTTCTCTTGTTCTGGTCATGCCGATAGATGAGCCTGCTGATGGGGGCATTAGTCCTACATAGTCCTTTAATATTTTGTGTACAGTTATCTGGTACAAACATTGATTAAAGCAGCAGTTTAAACTTCTGTTTTTATCCAGTTTGGTTTTTCAGTAGTTATTTTGATACTGTGTTTTTCTTACCATTTGATTTGCTGCCCACCGGAGTGATGGTGCTGTTTTGGGTGGAGCTCAGGCCTGTGATTTTTATGGAAGCCTTTTTATCTGGTTGTGCTGAGACAAAATGAAGCTGAGAAGGTTATTCCCTGTGTGTCTCAAGATGAAAATATTGAGAACTAGATCTGTGTGTGGGAGACTAATGTCAAGACTGCTAAAGCTTTATCCTAAGCACGCAGTGACAACATTCAGGTACTCGCCCATCCGACTGATGCAGTCTGAGAGTTTTAGTTCATTGCAGAAAATAAATGTTTAGACTAAGAAACATCTTTTAGCAGTGGTTTCTTTATGAAATTCAGAAAGAACACTAAGAAAAAGCTAACCCAGATGAGTTAAGCTCACATTTTTCTTTCTTCTCTGTTTCTTGCCCTTAAGCTGTTGTTCTGCACTGTATGGAGACCTTGCTTACATTTGCCTGCTTGGGATGTTGGTTTTGTTAGGAAAGGAAGATTGACGGGAGTGGTGTTACTGAATTGCAGATTTTCTTAGTCTTTATCCAACTTCAATACAAATACAAGGAGAAAATGTAGAATTTATATTGAACAGTTGTAGTGATCCAGCTGCAGAGATTCCTTAAATTGCCTTAGTTCTCAAAGCCTGATGCTTTTCAGTTATTTCTGAGGATGCAGTTATTCAGGAGCTTTATTGCTGAAAAGCCATGTTATTTGTTCCCAAAATGATACTAAAACAGGGAACACCTGATGTTAAAATTCTGAGTTTCTGGGAGTCTCATAATTTTCACTTTCAGTTTGTGTCACCCAGCTTTTAAACTGGGCAAACGTGAAAATTTCCATGAGGTACACAAAGGTTTTGCTTCTGTACTAGATGCAGATATGTCAGAAGATAACACTGATAATACATGTTTTAAGTTGGTTGTGTCCCTCAGTCCTGTGCCCACCTACTCTGATATTGCCCTCCATGCCTAGCAGAGCATTTTGTGTGTGTGTACACACGTTCTTAGAGCATTCAGGTTAAACTGTGTTATATGAGGGGATGTTTATGTCACATAACTGCATTTTCCCAGTATCAAATGAACAGAAAACTGGATACTGTTCTAAATGGTGACAAATCAAGAAAAGCTGTATGAATTGGTAATTGAAAATTACAGTTTCATGACCTTTCACACACGTGCATTGAATATTTAATCAGATAAGAATAGATCCTTGCCTGCAATGGCTGCTGAAGTGTTCAAACTTCTATAAGTGATTGGAAGAGAAATAAATTACGTGGAATGTATCTCTTCATGTTCAAGAGATATTATCAGTACAGATAAATACTTCTGTTTCATTTCAGCAAGCTTTTGAATTGCAGTTTAAAACAAAGCTGCTGAAGGCCAAGTTCTCTGCCCCCCATCAGCTGCCACAGGGAGCTGAGGCAGTGTCCTTGTGCCCCTTCCTCAAGAGGAGTGTGAGCCATCTCGGCATCAGCCTCTCCTGTTCTCCAGCAAATCTGCTTTTCACTTGTTTTGTCCTGTTAATTGAAGATCAGTTTGGTAAATTTAAGAAAATGTGTGAGGAGCGCTGGTTCCCCTCCCAAGCTGTGCCCAGTGCCTTTGTGAACAGTGCAATAATAAGCAGGTGTACTTAATTCCCACAGCAGCTCCTGGAAAGGTCACTGTGGGCTGCAGTGTACTTTGTATCATAAACCCTTTCGAATGAAGTTCTGATGTCACAGAGAAGCAACACTGTGCACAAAAACCAGCACAGTTCAGGTCAGTTACATGTGCTAAAAAACTCAAAAGGGATATTCCTCTTGTCCAAGTACACCTGTAAGGACAAGGAAGGTGGAAAGTTGAGCACTTCCAGCTGGCTGGGTGTGACTTCTCTATGACACCAGCAAGAAACATCTGCTTCAGCTTTCAAAACTCACTTATTTCAAGGTTTGTAAACCTTAAAAAAATCACAAACCCACAACCAAAACTGAACTTCTTGATCTTTTCCTATTGAATTAGAGGCAGGAATTAAAAGGAGATTTGTAATAACTGTGTGTGATTCTAGTTAATTAGAGATGGCAAACTTTCAGATAATTGTTACATCTGTAGAAGAGAAGGGGCTTATTAAGGGGGCAGTGTCATCATTCATTGCCCATCTTGCTAATAATACACCAAGTTCTAATGAGGGCAGTTCTTATTCTTCCATCATTTCAGTTACAACAATCAGTTCCAATCCCCAGCTCGGCTGAGGAAAGCTGCTCTGCTCTTCTGAGCAGTGTGGGGGTGTTTGACATCCTGTGAACAGGGCTTTTTGGATTTTTATTCTGTGAGAATCATCGGATGGGGAAGGACTGTCAGTACTCAGTTTTATGCTTGGTCCCATACCATACCCAAGGTAAGTGTGTGTTGCCTGATGCTCATAACCCAGGGCTGGGTCCATGGGTTTGTGTTATTTTTTAATTTTATTATAATAAAGGGGTTATAAATATTTTACACTTTTTTTGACAATGGCTACAGTTTAGATTTTTTTTTTTGTCTTTGTCTTTTCTTTTGTTTCCCCTTCGGCAAGGCCAACCGCTCTGAAGCAAAGATGACTTAAATTCTTTCTAAAGACCATTTGTTACCTGATGTTCTGAACTGAGATCCATTGCCTTAGAATGGAACATGTTGTTTTCTTAGATAAAGCTCTTTCAGCAGTGTCCACCAGTATGGATCCCCTGTATTTTTACCCATGTCTTGTGTCATTGAACAGCAAGAGTCAATCCAAACCCTTCAGGAAGGATTTTTTTCCTACACTGAATGTCCATAATTAAAATTTTATCAGTGAGACACTTTGAGCTTATCATGTCCTGTTACCCTAGACTGTTCTTCCTGGGCTCTTTTTGTTCACTGGACATTCTTTTGTCTCTAGGAACTGTAAATGGATCAGCACTTTCAGTATGCATGTTAAAAATGTCCTAGACAACTGCTACATTTGAATTTGGTGTTACTGTAGCTGCTGGAAGAGCACTTTAGTACACAAAATATGCTCACAGTTCCAGTTCTTCCCACTTGTTGTTCGCTTGTTACCCAGAACAGTTCATTTACTCACATCTGAGTTTGCCATTGCTCCATAAAGCCAAGGCTTCACCCCCAAAGATTTCCTATCCTTGGGCATTAAAAACTGTCTTGTTCAAGTACCACTTTGGGCAGGTGCAAATGCAGCACTGAACTCACCCTGTGGCTCCAGTCTCTTGCAGCACTGGGGATTTCTCACTTGGAAAGGAATCACCACTGCCTCACTCTGTTCTGGATCTTGGGACTGCTTGCACAGTTCAGCTACTAACCTTTTTCCCCAGGGTTAACACACTGGTTATTGGCTGTTTCAGCAGCTTAGGAAATAGTGCTTATTTTTAGACTGGCAGTGGAGTCTCACTGTCAAAAGAAAAACCAAACTGAATCACTTCATTCCTTTCTTTGCTCTTATGTGGCAGCTGTCAGCTGTTACTGATTGTTAAAGCAAATTTAGCTCCTTATGGAAATTGCTGTTACCTGGTTATTTCTTGACTTATAAGTAGCAGAGAATGTCAGTCCTCTTTCCAAGGATTATTCAGTGTGCTGAATACCCTGGGTAGAACATTTGTGGTTACTTTGAGATCTTCTACCTGCATGTATCTTATTCCATGTAACAAATAACAGTAATCATACTAGAACAGCTTATGTTGAACAAATACTTTTATTTACAAGGGCATATGTGACAGTTTTAAAATAAAAAAATGGAACAAGTCTACTTCCAGTCTTCAGCCTGCTCTAGATAAAGTCTCCAGCTTGACTCATTTCTTATTTGGCTTTCTTGTTTGAAGATCAAATTCGTGGCAAAATGGTAATATTCTAGTAATTTGGTGCCAATCACGGGGCTGAAAACCACCTGGCAGAACTCAGTCTCTTCGTACGTAGAAGATATTGTATCCCAGTTCCACCATCCCGCCAATAAGCAGGGCCCACAGTGGGATGAACACGTAGGCCAGTTTCATGGCGGTGAATCGCTGCAGTTTGGCGCAGAGGGCGAGGCAGAAGGCCAATTTCAGGAGCATTGCGATGAGGTACCAGGCTTTCTTCTTCATGTTCTGGGAGCCGTTCCGAGGGTCAAAGCCGGACTTGCACCGTCCAGCCATTTTTACAATTAACATCACTAGGAGAATTGTATCGAATATCCACACTGGAATGAAAATGAGGAACCAGTTCCACGGGGCTTTCTCATCCAACTTCAGCACCAGCATGATGAGGAAGAGTAACGTAAAAAGCCATGTCAGCAGTACTCTTTGCGCCAGGGACATTCTCATTTAAACAGCTTTGAGAGGGAGGCCTTCGCTGTCAGCAACAACCTGACAAAACAAAAGAGGGAGGGAAGGCATCAAAAGATGGCACTACACCACCATTAGGCTTATTCCCTAAAGGAGAGCAATTTCTGGTTCTTGCTTTCCCTGCCTTCCAACCTCACCCACACACTGTTTCCTGGCACTTCTTTTGTAAGTACCATGCTCAGCTAAACACTGTTTGCTCCAGTCCCCCCTTCCCTTTAAGTGCCTTAAGGCAGCCATGGAACTGCCTTAATCTAAATTGGGTCTGTGAAACAAACGGGGCCTTAATCCTAAACTAGCTGTCAGACTCGTTTAAGGATTTTTGAATGCTAAGAATATGTTTAGATCCATCTTCCACCAGTACTGAGGCACTCACGGCTAACACTTGACATCAAACATAACAAAATAACTACAGTAAAATGTAAACCAACTAAGGAGCAGAAGTAACAACCCCTCTGAGTGGGTCTAGAATTCATGCTACAAAGATAAATAACTAATACATAGCAGTGATGGTGCTGAAATAGGTTTCTTAATTATTTTAAAAACCAGAGTTTAGAAATCTGATAATTCCCTTTACATTACTGACACTCTTTCACCTGAAATAAGAACATGAGCTTTGATTTGTTCCAGATTACAAAAATATTTGAAATAGTGAAAGTGAGATGTTGTGAACATCTAATCCTCAGCACCGGATGCTGAGGGAAGGACAAGAGCTGCTTCCCCTCTGTCCCCTCAGTGCCCCTGCCCACAAGCTGCTGCTTCCTCTGTGTTATTACCAACGCTTACAACAAATTCTGTGCTCAGATAAGCTTTGGAACCTGGAGGAGGGAAGTAAAAGTTCCTGTCTCAGCTGATGAGGAGGTGACCTGCTTCCCAGGAGCAAGGGGATAACCATGTTGCACACCACTAAAATTATCCTACAATTTACATCTGTGTCTCCTGATACACAGTTCCACAGATCTACTATTTTGTTCAGGCTGGGTCTAAAGTTTGAATGGATTTGATTTCATGATAGTAGTAGGATATCTTTTAAGGAAATGATCCAATTTTGCCTAAAATAGTCCTAAAATTGGAGTGCATCCCCATGTTGTGTTGGTGCTGACACTTGTGTGACCCAAGGCAGGCCAGTTCCTTCAGCTGAACTACCCAAAAATAAATGAGTTTAAAATAGGATTTTTTATTTGCTTTTCACAGTCTCAGTTTTGCTGAGAACAGTAAAGGGTCTGGTGAAAGCCAGTTACTGGCAGGGTGGAACCAAGACCCCCACCCTCCCCTTCCTTAGGGAAGGGGTGAAGCTCAGCAGTGGCACTGAAGAGTCAGTTGCTAAGGGGACAAAAACCCAGAGGAGGTTTAGATAGCCTTGTTCTGCCCTTGTCACAGAAACAAACCCAAACCAGCTGTCAGGTGCAGAGGATTACAGAACAACTACAGAACAGCTCCCCTGCCTGAAGCTTTTCCAGTATTTTGAAAACACTTCCAATATTCTCAAGTACAAGTCTGTGGCTGAGGTGAAGAGTCGTGATCTGAAATGAAGTTTCAACGTTCATGAGAACGTTTTTTTAAAAAACAGTTCTAGAAATCAATGCTGCAAACACTGCAAGAAGGAGGCTCTCTCGTTAGCAAACTGGAGAAAGCAGAAACCAAAGAAACAGACTGGAAACTCGGGCCCGAAAGGAAAAAAGAAATTCAACACTGTTAGAAGTATCAGGTTATCAGATACTCAAAGAAGGTGCTATCACCTGTCTCTGGAGGAAACAGGAAGCTACTGAAGATGCATTACATGGGGCTACTCAATTTTAAGGTTGCTCCCTTGAAAATATTTTCAGTTTCCCAAGTGTTCAGAACCACTTTGTAACAACTGTAAAAAGCAGAGGCAGAAAACTCAGCATGGGATGTTCTGCTGCCTTTCTCTGACTCAAAAGATGTTACTGCAAAATTGGGCAGGACTGCAAGGCCCCAGGCAATTTTAGAGGCTTTTTTGGATGAAAACTCGAGAAAACCCAAGTGTACTTTTGAGAGATCTGAAAGTCCAAGTAAAGAAAGCTGCCAAATTTTGAACACTGACAGCTGGCTGCGCAGCTGACAATATGATGGAAAGTTTGATTATATGAAGCATCTCGTGATGGAGGAGATGATGGGCAGACTCTTTGTGGAGCCCAGCTATCCCAACACCACGGGCAGCCCTGGGAAAAAGATGCCTCTGCGGTACAGGTCTGACCGGGCACCTCTGCGAGAACTTAAGGGATGTCACAGGCAGAGAGTGAAAATAAACAGGCTCTCAACACCTTACAGGGCCCATATAATTAGGAAGTGGGAATTCTCAGTGATGAGAAACATCAAGGAGCATCACTGACCTTGGTGGGACGATCTGCATAATCAGGATGTTATGAAAGCTAATTCTGTCCTATTTAGGAGGAAAAAATTAAGCGGTGGGAAACTTACACATGACATTCAACTCAGTGGTAATGATAACATAGATCTATACATTTAGATTTAAACCTTGAACATCGCCTAAAAAAAGAAAAAAGTCCTGAAATTTACATTATGCTGAAACCAAGTTAAAACAGAATCCCAACTCGATTAGCTGGCATTTTGAACCCATTTAATAGGTACGAGTAATTTAAGAGCTAGAAAGAAATACCGCGGTAGGCCCGGTTTAAAACGCTGTTCAAGCACAGTTTTGCTATTCACAACCTCGGCCCGTCCCTCAGCCGGGCGGCCTTGTCCCGCCAGGCCCCGCTCACCCGGCCGCGCCGGAGGCCCCCTGAGGTGGGAGCTCCCCCCGACCCCCGTCACCTACCGCCGGTCCAGGCGCATCCCCGGTCGGCGGGGCCCGCGCTCGGCTCAGGGGGCTGAGGGGGCTGAGGGGGCTGAGGGGCGGCCGGGCCCTCCCCGCCCGCTGCGCCTCAGGGACCGCCCGCCCCCTGCCCCGCCCCACGCCTGCCATTGGGCAGCGCCTACGGCCTTCTTGTTGCTATTGGTCGAAAGACACGTCGCTCAAATCAATCCCCGCCCACCGCCTCTTCAGGCACACCCCTCCAATTCGCACCAGCCCTCGCGGCCGGCCCGCCCTGAGCCGCGCCCCCTGGCGCCGATTGGCGCAGAGATCTGTCTGTCACAGCGGCCCCGCCTCCACTCCGCCAGCCCTCTGTCGACCCCTAGCCCCGCCCCCCTCGCGCTCTCGTTGGGCAGCGCCGCTGCCAGTCACGACTCGGCCCCGCCCACGCCGGACGGGAGGTGGCGCTGTTTGGCCGCCGGCCCGCGCTCGGCCCCGCCCCCAGCCCCGCCCCCCCGGCGGCGCGCGCGCCGGTGGCGCGCTGTTGCTGCCGCCGCCGCCGCCGCGGCGCGCGCGCCGCTCTCCCCGCCCCCTCTCGCCAGCTGTTGCCTCGCGCGCCTTCCCGCCGCCGCCTCGCGCTCCCGCCGCCGCCGCTGCGTGCGGCGCGCGCTGCCCGCGGCACGTGCCGACGGTGAGAGAGGGGAGGGGCGGGGCTCCAGGGTGCCGCGGCCACAGCGCGGGGAGCGCGGCGGGAACCGGGGCGCGCAGAGCCCTGAGTGCCCCCGCTGGGGAAGGGGCCAGCCGGGGCGTGGGGCGGGAGCGGGGGCCGGCTCGGGGTCAGGCGGCGGTGCCCGCTCGGTGCGGGGCTACAGCGCGGCGGCGGCGGCGCAGGGCGCGCATCCCCGGCAGGGCTGCCCTGGGCGGGCGGTGGGAGCAGGGCTGCTGCCGAACGCCACCCCCGGGGGGATCCCGGCCGGGGCAGGGGCGGGCGGCCGCGGCCTCCCCGGCGCCGCGGGTCCCTCGGGCGGGGGCCGGTGCCGGCGCCGCCGGGGCGCGGGGTCCGAGCGCGGCTGCGAGCGGGTCTGACCCACCGGGTCCGGCCGGGGCTGCGGCCGCGCCGTCCCGGGGCCGGCGGTGCCCGGGTGCTGTGCCCACTCCACCGGGCTCGCCGTGGGCGGCGGAGCCGCGGTCACGGTCCGGGGCCCTGCCCCTGACTCCTGCCGTGAGGCTCCTTCTCCCCGCGGAGCTGCTCGGGCGCACCGAGCGCTGCCCCAGTGCCCGGGTCAGGTGATGGGAGTTCTCTTCTCCTTCCCTTTAAAGGTCCTGAATTTCAGCATCTTCACAGTCGCCTCTGTCCTCGTCTCCCCTGTTCTTGAGTTTTACAGTCCTTCCTCTTCTTTTCCTCATTCCTTACCCCTTTTCTTTCATTTTCCATCCTAGACCAGCGGCAACCTGACTACAGCTTGCCCTTGGTTTCCAAGCTGGGAATCAAAATGCTAGATAACTTCCCATCAGTTGAAGTTTCTGCTGTCACATTCATTTCCCTGGTGTTTTAGTTCCTGTTTTTTTCTATGAGAAAACAAAGGAGCTGAGGAAAATTTATTCCATTTTATTGCATTCCAGTAGAACTATCCAGGTGTTTGTTTCTGTTACTTTTGGTTTTCGTACATAGTCTCTGAGTGGGTGTGATTTAGGTATATCAAATTCAGGGTAAGTTTTAGCCCTTAGCGTCAAGCTCTGTGCTTGGTGTTTTGCTTTTTATTGCTTTTAGGTGTTACTGGTCACTTGAAATGAAGTACTGCTGAGTCTTGCATTATGTTCCAAATTTGCCGGTGTCTTATCCATTTGTCATATAATTAACAGGGAAAAGTAATTAATTGAAAAACCTAACTTGTTGAAAGAACTTTAATTAACATTCTGAAATTCTTTGTGATGAAATGTTCCTACAGAAAATACAGATGGTTTTACAATTTGGACACACGAGTTCTCTAATAGGAACGAAGCTAAATACAGTGTGTCATCAGTAATTTGTCTGCTTATATCTTCCTGTTGATGCTATTAAACAGATGGTGGTATCTGTTTTATCAGGGAGAAGTGCATCCCTTGAAATAACCTGTTAATCCTAGTAAGTGAATCCTAATATCTTTAGCTGCACTTGGAGTGGTCAGTAAGTGGCAGAAGGATATATTTCTGTTATATACATTAGCACTTGGCATGAGACTTTGTTTTCCTGGGGTTAAGAGGCTAAAAGTGTTCTGTGAATAAATCTCTGGGTTATAAATAGCTGTAAGTTTTTGGCTATTTTTGTAGCTCTGAAGGTTTTGGTGATCTTCTTTGATTTGCCTCTTTATTTGTGACTCCCTGGAAAGGATAATCTTTTTCTCAGAAGTCTTATTTCTTTTCCAGTAAGGTGTTTATGAACTGATGTATGTACACACATTACCCCCACAGACTCCACTGTACAGTATTTGTGAGCAATTTTCATTTCTGAAGGTGAGGGCTGATAGCAGCACTTGGAACTGGTGTGTTTAAGATCCCGATCCGCGTTTGAAGTGGAATGTTTGTGCAGTTAAATGTTCTGTTGCTATGTTTTACTGCCAGTGTATGTTTTTATTTCAGATATAAATATTACAAAGGATAAAACACAAGCCTGAGTCACCTGAAAAAGAATTTGGAAGCCTGGTTGGTTTAATTCAATGCTTGTACTAGATTTTTTCCTTTTGTATTGTGTGGAATGTGACATACCAATACTTTGCCAGTAATTGTTGGGAACTCCACAGAGCATTTCAGGTATTCCAGTAGGACTGGATTTCTACCAAAGCAGAGTTAGCTCAGCTGGTCTCAAAAAGTTGGTCCTAGCTGTATCCATAGCTGCTGGGCATCAGTGTGAATTCTGGAAGAACTCAAAATCCTGTAGGTTTTGAAATCGGAAACTCCGATTATTGGTAACTGAATATTGGTGTGTTTTTTGGGGTGGGACAGAGATGTGTTAAAGAATTCCATCAGTGTTGTTTGGGGCAGTTGACAAGGCAGCGAAGAGTGGAGCAGCTCTTGGAGTTGAACACTGCTGTTCCTGTCACAGCTGGCAGGGGTCACTGGAAAGCAGTGGACATAATTTCTTCCTAATTCTCCAAAGCTACATATGCTGTCTTCCCAGACTTTTTCTAAATATATCTTCTTACTGATTTATAGTAGAAATTTTGTTGAAGAAATTTTCTTCTTTTCTCATGACCCCTGTGAGCAAGAGCAATGACAGTCAAAGACTGGGTTCTATTTTTTAAATTTTTTTTTTTTCTGTCTAGGAGGGTGTTCTTTTCATAATAAACAGCATTGTCTACGGACTCATCACCGGACAGTTTATGTGAATTTTTAGCAAGGCTTACTAAGGGCAAAAAGCTTGTATAATTACTTTCTTTGTCTGTCTACTCCCACTTGAGTCACTTCTCAGATGATGAATCCAAAGTTAATGGCAACCGAAAGACATTAAGTACACAGTTTTTATAAAATTTTTATAAAACTTTTGACAGGTAGTGACCGAAATTAACGTTCCCAACCAAAAAAAGGCAGTTATAACTGAGTCCCTTCCCGCTTCAAAAAGTGACCAACTGCTGGTCACTATGTACTAAGCTCTGAGCCATCATGGTGCCTGCTGCCACTGGCCCAGCCAAATAGTTGGGATGGTTGTTAAGATGGGTGGGGGGCAGGGAAAAAATGATGGGTGAGGTGGAGCAGGACAATAGGGAGCCACGGGACACTGGTAAAAACAGACAGACTTAATTGCTTCTGCCCACGGGGCAAGGTAGGCCTGTTTTTTCTGTAATTTTTTTGTTGTTGTTTTTTGAAGGAAACAAAACAAAACTCTTGGGATACCTCTGTCAGAGGCACTGCTCCCTCTGACTGTTCAAGGATGGTTGACCACCACTTACTCAATGATAGGTGGTGATGTGAAAAATAAGACTTTGAAAGCTTTAAATATCATGTTTTCTCACTTGAGTTTACTGTAATGTTATTCGTGAAGTCCTTTCTGAGTGCAGAGGAAATGGTTAACTGCTTGAAGAAATTATATTCAAATTTGTAAGGAGAACACAAAGAGCCTAATAAATTGCCTGTAGAGGTAAAAATAGTAATTAGGGCTATAATGTATTGCTGTGTAATGTTTGGGTATGCTCTACATGTAATCATAGAATAATTTAGTTGAAAGAGGTCATTGGAAGTCATCAGTCTTGTCCAACCCCATGTCAGAGCAGCCTCAAAGTTAGAGCAAACATGTACATATAGATAGAGATGACTATTATATTGTCAAAAATTTGGAAATACAGCTTGGGCATGTGATGTGTTTTTGTTTTTTTTTGTTTTTTTTTTTTTACAGTAGAAGGATATTAGAGAGTTCCTAGAGCTATACTCTTATTTCTTAATTTACATGTGTAGAGGGGATCTTTCTCCAAATTTGTTTTCCACTGGGAATACTCTTTAAGTGAAACATGTAATGTTCAGCATTTAATTCTTTGCTCCTTTGAGGTGGTCTTGGTAGTTGCACTCCAGAGAGCCTCGATGGCTTCCTGGAATGAGTCCAATCATTGCATTGAACTCCCATTTGCAAATAATTTGTTGCTCTGTTCTTAAAAAATAAAATGCAATTGCAGAGTGGGAGAAGAAATTAAAGCAATATCGCATCAAATATGAAATCGTGCAAGCCTTGCATTTTGGAAGTTGGCCAGCGCCAGATGCTTTTGGGGTTTAGGTGGTTGGCAGATGCTGTCTTGGCAGCTGAACACTCTTCGTGTTGATCTGTGTGAGGGACAGTTTGTTCTGTGTGTTGCTCACACTCTCTCCTTGGTATTGGCTTCTGGCCTTGGAGGGGTCGAGTTAAGGGGAGTGTTTGTATGGCCAAATACAGCCCAATGATCTCTTTGGATGTTTTCTTGCATCCTGGGTCATGAAGCTTGAGATTTCCTCAGCTGTGTGTTGATTTTTTTCCCCCCTTCTCGTTAATGCGTGATTAAATAGCTGCTTTCTTTTCGAATGGGAGTAAAGTCTTGGCTTCAATGACTTCCTGTGATACTGACTTTAACAGTCTAATTATGTGTTGTAATATAATATTTCTCTGTTAAAAATTTGGCTTTGCTATCCTCTCAGCTCAATTAATGAATGAAGTT